ATGCATGCAAAGCTTGCCTACCTAGCTTTATGAGTCTGGCTATAATCTGTCGTGCGTTGCCGCCAGCATTATAGTCCGAGAGCATAAAGTAGGAGCAAGTGTGCGTCTAGAGGAATGTACCGCGGATCCGAAGAAGACTCGCACCTCTGCAGTCCTCTCGCTCCTCCTCATTCTTCATTCCTCTTCCAACAGACCAGAGCAATGATAATGGTCACCTACAGATGGTTACTAGAGCTACACAAGTGCATTGCTCATGTTTTCGCTTTCCCTGACCCATCCCACCCTTTTGTTTTTGTAAAGAGTTCACAGCTGTATGAGTGTAGCCAATGCCACCACTCACACAGCTTGGGTTAGGCACAAAGCAATAGTAGCATTAACAGCTCTATAGCCTTAAGCCCAAACCACTTAGTACTCCTAGCTCGTAGCTCAGGCCATAGTGTAGACAGGGGTAGACAATAGCCCTGTAGGTGTCCCAGAATGTCATTGCATGCATGCAAAGCTTGCCTACCTAGCTTTATGAGTCTGGCTATAATCTGTCGTGCGTTGCCGCCAGCATTATAGCAGCTACTGTACCACGTACCGGTACTGTGGCCAAGCTTGCTAGCTACCGGTAGCCGAGGAAGAGGAGAAAAGACGTGGGCCAAAGCTCGGTTGGATCGGGTACGTACCGGTAGGGAAGAAGCAAACTTTGGACTTGCAGCCTCTTTCGCACCCTTCTTTGGAGCAACCCACAATGGCAATACGTTCGCTACCGACATCAACAAAGAAAAAATATGGGTATTCTGCCTGTTTCGCGCTTGGAAGCATCACAAAGTCTTTGCAACCAGACTCTTCTTGTACTTCCCCAAACTAAAAGCATAGCATAGCAACCATCCAGTTCACCATTGCAAAGAAAGCAATCACAAGTACTGGTGTTTTCGTGGCCCGGAGCCGGCCAATGTACTTCTTGCACCAATCACCATCGCTATCATCCACCACGGCACATGGCGGCATTGGGGTCTTCTTCTGTCTTACTAGCGCCTTCTCCCTCAGTTTCGCTAGCACCTTCCTTGGTCGCACCTTCTTCGGGTTCCTCCTCGGTGTACTCGAAACACTCTCCTTCAGGGGTCCTCTCCGTAGTTCCAGAAGAAGACACTGTTTCTGCTCGAGCTTTGTCTCCGCGCCAATAGCTAACTATAAGCTTGGTGGTCAAGGTGTATCCTCTGACGAGAAGAATGCATGACCAAAGGACTACGATCGATTTGATGATGAATGAATTATCCCAGATTGGCATTGGCCTAATGTTATCGAATCTCCGATGCTGGAGACCTTCGAGTCACACGAACAGACCTTTTCTCGATTGTTTTCGATTGGCCAATCAAATTTACTCATTGTGTTAACTATGGCCCATGTAGAAGCTGCGCATTTATTTTATCACGGCAAGCAAAACAGAATTGCACGCATTTCTTCATCCCAAACGCGACCATGAGCAACCCCCAATCGAACACGTATCCGTCTAGTCCACCAACGTTGACGGCTAGCAGCAGCCAGTCAACCACAACCGCCGGCCAAAGTGCTTACCAAACCCCAACCCAGGCGGGCAAGCCTGGATTCGTGACTCTTGCCGACAAGTCGGACGAAGTCCCCCTCGACTGGATCGTGACGGCGGCCAATGAAATCCTGAAGCATCATACAGACTCTTCTTGCTCTTCTTGGGGTCAGTTGCAGCCCCACAAAAAAGTTGCTCTTGCATTTCTTATCTACAAAAAGCAGCACGAGTGGCTTTTACGCAACAATTACAATCAAGACATGGGGGCGGTGGCGACCGCAATGATGGAAAAAGTGAACCAGATATGTTGGAACCCAACGATCTACTCTCCACTTGCGGCCTTTCTCCGCAAAGGAGGTGATGGAATCCTCTCTAAGAACGATGCCGAAGACCGCGATTACTGGGACGAGTTTTTGACCAACCATCCAGACTGGCGTG